CCAGGTGTGTCAGGTGTTCAGAACTGGCTTAGATTTGTTCATCCCAAACCATTCCCTGAAGGGAAAATGATCATTCCCCATGAAGTTACCTCAGGTTCAGACATTACCAAAGGACCAGATAACAATCACAAATTAGGCATGTCCTACCTAAAGTTATGACGATCCACACGTGTAAAACTTAAAATACAACCACAGACTCTAGGCAACTAACTAATCAAACATACAGAACACAGAATTACTGATGATCACCCACAGAACAGCACAACTATTCCTGGCCTATCACTGATGAAGAGGACACGCTGGCTATAAAACAGGGAAACGGCCTCTTAGAGTCGTGGTGTACTGCAACGCTCAGACAGAACTCGAGAGGATTCAGGACTCCCAGTGCACAAACGAAGCAGTGTGCACCAGGGAGTCCTCTCCCTCCCTTACTTCCAGTTGTGCCCTCTCACTGCCCTACCAATTTACCTCAGTCAGATAAAGCACCTTTCCACACAGCACTTTTCTCACCCATCAGGCGTGGGCAAACAAACACCACCAAGTTACTGTGCAACAGAGCGCTGCAACATCTGCAACATCCCTCCCTGCTCACTCAAGTCCGTACTAGTTCCATCGACACGCACACTGTGAACTAGCTTTCCAGCTCCAAAGTGACTTAACACACCGTGTGCCCACATGTGGAAGCCTCAAGTTGAGAGATTTCTCTTAATGATGATCTGCTTTTGTTTCACCCTGTATGAAAAAGACGTGAGAGGGTTCTTACTGTTCCTCCAGCAGGCGGCTAAATTTCTGTCTTGCCAAATCCATTAGGCCATCCACCTCCTCCTTGGAGCGCTTAAAGTTCTCAATGCTGAAGGCATAAACAGTCACCTCCCGAATACCCAGGTTTAAACACCACCGCAGCGTCTGCAAGAGGACAAAATGTAATTAAAAACACAAGTCAGATAAACAGACTCCGGTAATCAGACAGCTCAGCAAGACCCATATTCTCAGCTGCTAGAACCTTCCTGCTGTTTCCCACTGTGCTAAGACTGATCAAGAGAAACAACCCTCAAGAGCTGACAATTCCTACCTTGCCTTTTCAAAGAAACTCAACCTGCATCACAGAATTAAGCTTCAAATGTGCAAGACAGATACTTTAAATGAGCGTAAAACAGAGGAAAAACTAGGAGATCAGAATGACTCTGCAAGACAACAGTGAAGAGAGCAAGCCAAAGTCAGCCCCCTGATGACATCAGCTGAAAGCACAAGGCCTGACTCGTCAGAGAAGGGCCAGAACACATCAGTAAAGCAGCAAACAAAGCCGGCTGATGAACACATGTCAGACTTTCAACACAAGTCAGAGGCAGCAAACATCCTTCCCACCTGTGCCAGCTTATCAAAGCCTTGCGAGTGTCCCTGCTGCCTCTCCACGTGACACTTCTGGGCATAACGGCGATTGCCGTCCATGATGAAGGCAACATGCTTGGGCATCGGACCTGCCTAGAAAACAAGGACAAACAAAACAGAGCAGAAAGCTGACATCTTGCATCGCAGAGCGTAGCCCCACCATTCCTGGTAGCACCCCACACTGCTAGGAGTGCAGCGGGTTTCTCACAGCTGAAAGATAAAGATGCTAATCACCTCTTTGGTAATCCCAGCTTAGTGTCCCTCTAAAACCTCTCAATATTGACGATTGCCTAAGCCTAAAAGCAACCTTGCCCTCCCCATTTCTGTTTCGTGACAGAGAACTGTAGCACTTCAGAGGCACAAGAGCACTGCCACCACAGCTGCCTCTCTGCAAGTGCAGGGGAAGGTGCACAGAGCTTCATGGTGCTGTTGTTGCAAGTATTTTTATTTCAGATTTCAGGGGCATTTTCACAGACACAATTAACTTCGGTGAAGAACAAGTGAGGCCATGAGACCTTCTCCCCTTTAAGACTAGTAACTCCCTTACAGTGACCTCAGTAGGCCTTCAGAGAGACCCTTTGAAAAAAGGACAGCAGCACTAGTTCTAAGACTCTGCTGAGCCAGGACAGAATTTCCCTGGAGCTGCTGGGTTATTATTCTAGCCAGCAGAAACCCAGCTTCATACCTTGGATCACAACCCACCATTTCACTGCTCTTCCCTCCTCCCATGCCCTGCCTTCACCAGTGAGGGCACAAAACGTGGAAGCCTGGGAGTGTAAGCTCATTATTGGCAAGCACTGCCTGCAGCCCTGCTCATTTGCAAGACTAAGCTTAAGTAATTTTCCATCCCCAAACGCTGCTTAGGGATGTACATCCAGTGCCAGCATTAATAGGCACCCTTGCTAGCAACACTACCTTCCTACAGCAGATCGGTCACAGAGATAGCTCCACTTTGAACCACAGTGAGCTTGCTAATTGCTGACTACTGCAGGTAACCAAGGTTCACTCCTTACCTTAATTATGTTGGCACAGAATCTCTCTATGATGCTCAGCTCGCCTTCTCTGATCCACGACATGTCTTACCAAGAGCTCCTGTTCTTTTTCAGTAGGAAGATGAAAATAAAAGGGTTAGAGGTACAGAAGACTCCATCTGAGCCCAAAGCAACACTGCATGCAATCACCTGGGAAAAATAAGGAGCTGTTTTGGAAACCTTTTTGTCACATGCATGAGCGCTTGGACAAGCGAGCAATGGGGGAAGCGAACAGCTCAGAAACGAGCTCTGGAATTTTCCAGCTCTGTGCCAACAGACTTGATGCTCTACTGGTTTGCTGCAGGGAAAGTCCCTCCTGCTTCTTCTTGCAGAAATAGCCGGTGAGATGGTACACACCCACGGTAACGAGCACCCACATTGCACCAGGTTACCACCAGGCTCAGCACAGAGCAATGATCCCAAACTGACCTGTGGCGCTTTGGTGCTGGAAACCCTTCAAACTGACATCACCAACCACCCTGCTCTGTCACCACTAAGATTTCTTCTCCCTCACAAATACAGAACTTCAGCCTTAAGAGCTCTAAAAACATTGTGTTTTTTTTAAACCACATCACCCACTCATCAAACACCAGTACTTGGTTTAAGCTAACAAAATACAAGTGCCTGCAGAACTCCCAAATTTACCTTCATTTCTCTGAACTTGGAGCCCTGAGAGAGGTGGACACAGCGGTTCTGAGGAGCGCTGCAGGGTCAGAGCCCAGACCCACCCACCTGTCCCCCAGTGAGGAGCAGGAGCAGCCTCAAATCGCTCCGACCACACATTTTCTATGTGTGCCTTCTCCACCTGTGCCCTCAGGAAGGGGCGCGCAGCCACAGATACAACCGCAAAGCATTCAGGCGAGGCCAGGCCGCACCTGGGGCTCTCCCTACAGCTCCCTGCCCTCCCTGGGGACAACCCGGGCTAAAAACACCCCCTCCCCCTCCTCCCCCACCACCACCACCCGCTAACAAAACCCAACCTTCTGCCACTAAAACCCCACACAGCCACCTCTAGAAGCGCTCCCCACCGAGAAGCCGCCTGCCTACGAGCCAGGAGCACCGGGGGGGCGCCGAGAGCTCACCCCCACGGCCTCGAAGCAAGGCCGGGAGGCCCCGGGCCCACCCCCACCGTGAGGGGAGACCCCAGCGCGGAGCGAGGCCCGGCCTGCAGCGGGGCCACCCCCGGGAAGGAGAGGGCAAGAACCCCAAGAGGCGGCTCCCCGGGGCCTGAAGGGCCTCCCCGCTCCTTTTTGTCCCCGTTTTTCCCCCTCCTCGCCCCCCGTTTTCCCCTCAGAGCCCCCCCGGTGACCGCCCCCCCCCCTCCGTTACCTCGCCCGGCGGCGCCGCCGCTGCCTCCTCAGGAGGGGGCCGCGCCCTTCCGCTTACGTCACCCGCCCGCGCCCAGGGGCGGGAAGCGCGTGCGCGGGGAGGGGGAGGCTCGTGCGCATGCGCGCGGGCGCCTCACGGCTGAGGGGAGGGGGGGGAAGAAGGAGGAGGGGGGAGGGGAGGCCGCCATGATGGGGGCGGCCATGAGGGGAGGGGGGAGGCGGCCGTGAGGGGAGCCCGGCAGGGGGCAGGGTGGGCGTGGGGAGGCTTCAGGCCGGCCCTGGGGCGTGTGAGGGTCCTTGGGGTTCGGTTTTCACCCCCAAAATCTGGTGCCCCCCCCCCTCCCAGCCCCTTTTTGGGGCTGAGAGCCTCAAACCCCCCCAGCCCCTCAGTGAGGGGAGGGAGGAGGAACCGCACACAGCAGCCATTGCCCGTGGTCTTTATTTATTTTATTTTTTTTCCAGAAAAAAAAAAAACACATTTCACATAGATGGTAATTAAAAAAATTAAAAACACAAATGAAAGGAGGGAGGGGGGAAAAAAAAAAACCCTGCAGCGACAGGAGCTGCGGCTCTCGCTGCAGGGCCTCCAGCAGGAAACCTCCTCAGAGCCGCACGCAGCCTTCCCCCTGCATCCCTCCCTCCCTTCCCTCCCACTTCATACAAATTCAAAGAGTTTGACACAAACAAGCTTTGGTTGCTAGCAGTAAACATGGAGTTACATTCTTCCGTCTGCTCGTATAGACAATCTTGCGACTCAAAGGCTTTTTAACACGGGGGGGGGGACACCGCCGCCACCTCGGGAGGGACATTTCTCCACATACATTCAAATGCCCCGTTACAGCAGGACCCTGAGTGTGCAGCCTCCTCCGCCCGCGACCCGCCGTCCCCTAATGCATAGTGCCCAGCGCCTGCGAGCCGAGCATGGGCAGGGTGGGTGATGATGCAGCAATTTATTTCATTATTGTCAAGACCCGGGAAGAACCCACAACGGGCAAACGCAAGGAGAAGATGCAAATCGAGCCCGTCTTCTCCAGCGTGGCTTCCCTCTACAGATAAAAATCCCTGTGTTCTGGGGTCCCGGGGCCACAGTGGCCCTGGGGAAAACCTGAGTGATTCGCTAAGCCGTTCGCTATTTGCTTTAGCCTAGGACAGGGATGGCTACAGAAGTCAAATCCCCACACAGAGTGGCAAGGCAGAGTACACAGAGAAGATCCCGTCTCCCTGGTCCAAAACCTATTAGATGCTTTGGCTATTTTTTTTTTTTCATTTTTTTTTTCTTTTTTTTTTTCTTGTTACTTTTGTAAACAATAATCAAGAATACTGAGAGAAAGTGGAAAGATTTACAGAGATATTTACACGTACTAGGCATCTAGCAGAAAAATCACCAAAACCATTAAACTGGGGGGCGAGGGGGAAAGATCCTACACGATTCTTCAAGACAGATACAAGACCCGGGGGGCAGCCGTTTCCCCGGCACCACCAAGGTGCCACGGGAGGGCCAGCAGCCCCCGCAGCGGGACCGAAGCCCAGGGTTAGACTGCGCAGCCTGGTGCGCCCTATTGCATTCACCCCGTTCAGACAAAAGCGGTTTCCCTGAAGTGGCTTTGTCTAGGTCCCATCGCTAGTCGAGAACTCGAGGTCCTTCCCCCACCCTCCCAAGAAGAGACCACCACCTCACCATAGGAACTACTGGAGCAGGGCAGGCTCAGCTGGGAGCCGCTCTCCATCCCCGCAAGCCTCGGGAGCAGGGGGTGGATTTGGGGCTGAGCAAAGCTTCGGAGGGAACGCCAGGCTCTGGCAGCCTCGGCAAGTCCCTGTGGTGATTCCTGCTGGCGAGGTTGGAGGAGATCCTCTCCACCTGGTCCAGCCCTGCTCCACATCTAAACCTATCGCTACCTAAAGAACAGTGGGAACCGTGCTCGCATCCTGAGATGCCAGCACAGCAAGATGCCCTCCCTGGGAAGGCTCCGGCCAGCCCCGGGGTTTTGGAGTGGAGTGTCAATGGCCTGAAAGCAGGGATCCAGAGCTTCCCCAACCATCACGAGCTGACATTTGGGGGAAGCCAGGAAGGGAGCAGACGGAGCCGTTGCACCTCCCGTGCCAGAACTTGGCACCAGGTCCCTTGTCCCAGCAGGTCCCAGTTTGGGGACGAGCGAGGGCAGGGAGTCAGGGACAACGCTCGGTCTCTCAACACCCTCCCTGGCTGCTGTCAGCTCTCACCACGTTGCCCTGGGACCCCCACCCTGGCTTTCTGGTCCCCAGACCCGTGTCACCAGCCTGCTGGGAGCCTGTTTGACGTCCCAGCCTGCAGGTGACAAGGGGGACTCTGGCCCGGGGCAGACAGGAGCGTTCCCATCGGGACGGCGGGGAGGGGGATGTAAACAGGAGAGGGAAGTGGAGGACAGTCCTCAAAAGCCACCAGGCTGGGAGAAAATCTGGAGTTGGGGAGCCAACACTGGGCTCTAGCAGCTGCTCCCTGCCCCTGCACTGCCTGGCTTCTCCATCCCTGCGCACAGATCGACAGACCCCAATTCCTCCTCAGTCCAGCAGGGAAGGGAAAGAGACTATTCAAATACAGTTAAAAAGAAAACAAAACCCAAACATACCAAAAAAATAAAAAATAAAACACAACCAAAAAGCTCAACAACACGTCGAGTCCACCTAGCGAACATCCAGTGAGGTAGATCTACGCTTCCAATACAAACTTTGTCACATCTTTGTGCTGTTAGGAAAAAACCCTCCTCTCTGTCCAGCACGGGGCTACAGAGGCATTTTATCCCTGAGATTGCTCGAATACCTGAGAATAAGTTGCAGGAATTAGGTCCTTTCTCTCTCTCTCTCATTTTTTTTTTTTTTTTTTTCCTTTTTCTTAAAGATTAAAATATACAAAAATACAAAAAACAGAATATTTATATTAAAAAAAAAAAAAAAAAAGACGACAAACAAACCCAAAGATACGTCATCCACGCACATCCTAGTGCAGCTTTCACTTGGTGTTGGCTTCGGCACGGGCAGGGGGCGGCCGGCCCCGGGAGAATAAAATTATAAAATTCATTGTCACCGGGGCCAATAAATAAAGGCAAGGCCGGGGGGCGGCGGGGAGGGACGAGAGCAGCTGCTGACACCCTGGTCCCCTTTTCCCTCTGTCCCTGGGCAGGCTGAGCCCAGGGGCCATCGGTTTCTGGCACACGGCAATGGGCAGGAGGAGTATTCATGCCCTGCGTGGGTTTGCTCCACGTGGAAGAGCCGACGTGCAGGAGCCCCGGCTGGGTTGCAGTTTCCCCGAGGGAAACACCACCAGCAAAACCCCGGCAGCTGGCTTAAGCACTTGCAGCCCTCGCAGCCTTCCCGCTGCCCAGCTCCGGGGTTCGGAAGCGGGGAGACCTGCGAGCGAGGAGCTGGGGGAGCCGCGGGGCCGGCCCGTGGGTGTCCCCCAGCTCTGCCGCCCTCGTCCCTCCCTCCTCCGGGCACGGGGCAGGGGGAGCAGGGAGCCGCGAGAGCCTCCCTGAGATGCTGCCTCTCTGCTCCTCCTCCCGGGGACCCTCGTACCTGGCTTCGTGGAGAATAAAGACGAAGCAAACGTGTTCCTTTTTCCCCTGCAAGAGGTGCGCCGAGCGCTCCCCCCACCATTTTTGGAGCCACCCCAATTAAAAGCGGGCTGCGGGGAGGAAAAGGGGCTGCCGCCTCCCCTCCCCGCTCCCTCCTCCTGGCCCCCGTGGCCACCCGTTGCCTTGCCAAAGCCTCTCCGTCCCGGTGGTAGCCCCCGCCGCCGCCTGCCATCATTCCCGGGTTTCGGGGAGCAGGGGCGAGCTGTGCATGTCCTCCTCCTCTCGGAAGTAGGCAGGCTTTCCCTGCGAGCTGGGGGACTGCTGCGCTTTCGCCGGGCAGTTGGCGACCATGTGGCTGATGCTCTGGCAGAAGTGGCATTTCTTGGGCTGCGGCGGGCAGCTTGCACTCTTTGGCGTGGTGGTCCAGCCCGCCGCAGTTGTAGCATCTGCGAGGGGAGGAGAGAGATTCGAGGGGGAGAAACAAAAAAGAGAGGGGGTCGCCGCCGCCCCGAGGGAGGTGGTGGCCCCGGGTTTGCTCCCCCGGTGGGTTTGGAGCTGGCCCAGTGGTGCTGCTGGTACCCAGGAGATGGCAGCAAACCCACGTGCCAAAAATGACCGTGTGGGGACAAAAACGGGGACACTGGGGGCACACACCTCTCCATCATGACCGCGGTTATGGATCCTGTGTCTACAAATCCTGCATTTTGGGTTGCTGCCAGCCTGCACGGTGCAAGCCACCAGCATTTAGAGCAGCAGGAACAAGCAGCCACATGGCCGGAGGCCCCAACTGGGAGGACAGATACAGGGACCAGGGCCACCAGCATGGGGACAGCCCCGAGGGCGGCTTGTCCGAGGCCGTGCCATCATAGCACGCACCCCCAGGTGCCCCCTTCATGCAGGAACAAGGTGGGGAGCAGGAGCTGCCTGGTGCCCGTTCCTCATCCTGCATCATTTTAGGATGGCTACAACCATTTGCTCCTCGCTTCTCCTCCCCGGTTCCTTCCCAGCAGACTGGAAAACCCAAACTTTGGGCAAACAGCTGGGGAAGAGGGCAGCATCGCTGGACCTCGCCCAGGGGCCCCAAGCCTCACCGTGGGAGATGCTGCCGGGACGTCCGGCCACATCCTTCCCCCAGGGAAGGGTTTGTCTTAGGGAAAATTACCCCTGCCCGGCTCGGCCGGCCGAAGCTCCAGCGCACAAGGGGAGCATCAGCCCGGGGTGTCCCCGACCTCTGCCCTCTCCCTTCAGGCTTCTCTGCCCTTTCCCCACCAAGCTGCATCTGCCGCTCATTAAGCGCAGGAGGAAGCCGCCGTCCCAGAGGAAGGGGCTGCTGCCCACCCCGTGCCCTGCTGCCCCCCTGGCTCTGCTCGCCTGCCCCAAGCAGGCAGGATGGGGCCGCCCCGGCCCTGGCTCACACCCATGCATGGGGCAGCCTCCTAGGGGACAACGGGGACATGAGGGGGACGCTGAGCATGTAGCCCGGCTCCAGGCACCTCCTGGCACCCGCAGGGCTCCGAAGCAGCCCCGGATCAGGCCCTGGCCACCCCTTACCGGTCTCCTTTCGATCTGCGTTTCTGGAGGCTCTTGCCCTTGGGTCTCCTCTCGCTGCCGATGCAGAAGACGCCCCCCGGGCCGGTCACCCGGATGGACTCCAAACCTTTGGATGACTTCTTGAAGGTGAACTCGACAGCTTCGCCCTCCTTCAGGCTGCGGAAACCCTCCATGTGGAGCTTGCTCTGGGGGCAGGAGAGGACAGGGATCAGCACCAAACCAAGGCACCCCAATCCCCAGCACACCCCAAGCCCCACCCCACAGCACCAGGGCTGCTGATACCCCCTGTGCCCGCACCCAAGGGTGCAGACACCAGGAACTGAGCTCAATCCTGCACCTTCATCTGTTGGATGATGTGGGGCTGAGGCACGCAGCCAAGTTGGGCTCATTGCTCAACAAAATAGGGCCACCAGAGCCAGCTCTGACCCTAATTTCAGCAGGGTGTGCTGCAAAACGCTGGCTGTCAGTGCTGCAGCCCCATTTTCCCCCCCATCCTGCACTGCCCATTGCTATCTCCCGATGCCACGGGCTGGGGATGCTCGTGCGGAGCTGCAAAACTTCATTTTAAAAAGACAAAAGGACCTGGAGGCTTTGCACGTGCGGCCCTTCTCGCCTCCCCATGGAGAGGCAGAACGAGGGAGACACAGCCTGAGCCCCCTGCACACATTCCTGCAGCGAGTCCGGGAGGTTTTGCCCCAAATCGTGGCTGAACCACAGGGGATGCAACACGGGGGTAGGAATTGGGGCCCTTAGGGCGGCGTCTGCTGGTCCCTCCCTGCTCCCTTCCCGGAACAATAAGGAGCTTTTCTCTGGGGCCCAGAGGCTGCAGTTGCCCAACGTGATGTGCCAGGGCTGCTACCAAAAATCCGAGTCTCCCCTGGCCTTAGCTCACCCCAGCTCTGCGCCACTTTTGCCTGAGCATCCTTCAAAAGCTGCCGGGCTGGAGGGTGACCCCAAATGCAGCAGCTCCCTGCGGCTCCAGCCCTTTAAAAGCAATTAAGCAGCCATTTGGCCCCGGCTCAGCACCACCGGGGGCATCTCCCGGCCCTGGGGGTCAGCGCACTGAAAACAAACGAGTTTGGAGAGACACAGGCTGCGAGAGGATGGAAAAATCCTCTCTGCTTTCCCCAAGCCCCGTCCATTTTAGGACACCTTCACGGGAAGCTGGGCGATGCATTCAGCACCTCCTGCCCTCCTGCTTGATCCCGGGCAGCTGCTGGAGCAGAGGTTTGGCTCAGCTTCGTTAGCGGAGCCTTAACGAGAGCAAAGAGTTAAGGGGGATTTGCTGGCGGAGGGAGGAGCAGCTCCAGCCTGGCCGGGCTGGGATTCCCGGCAGAGCCCGACGCCTGCGCGGCTGCGTGAAGCTGGGGACGCTGCTTTTATGAATGGAGCATCTCCCATTCATGGGCTGCCCCGTTCCCATCACGTGGCCCCCCCGTGCTTCCCGCAGGGATCCTCCGCGGGCACGCTGCCCATCCCAGCCCCGCCGCCTTCCCTCTCTCCCTCCTCCTCCTCCTCTTCACCCTGCAAAAATGCCCGGGACCCGCGTGGGGACACCCCGCAGGAGAGCGGGGAGGGAGGAGATGGAGCCGTTGGGGTTTCAGGGTGGTTTTTTCTGGTGGGATCGTGGAGGATGCGCGAGCATCTGTGGGCACGTGCAAGTGAAAGCGCAGCAGAGCTGGAGAAGCTGCTCCTCCTTCCCCCTTTTCCTTTCCCAAACCTCTTGGGGGGGGTTTCCCCACACTGGTCCCGGAGGCTGGCTCCATCTGGGACAGAGCCCACGGGGTTGGGGGTGGGCCAGGACACCCTGGGACAGCTCACCAGAAACCTCTGCTTCCTGACGCTGCCAAAACAGCCAAATTTAACCTACTGGGGTCCCTGATGAGGACACACTGGGACAAATTCTGCCCTCACGGTGCTGCTCCAGGCAGTCCCACCACCGGTGAGCACCCTACCACGCTCAGCACCCCTATGCACCACTCCCCAGCCTCAGCCTGGCCTCCTGGTGCCCCAAATCACCAGGAGGATGCTGAGCATCACCGGGAGGATGCTGAGCGCCTCCCCAGCACCAGCCCCGACACGAGGCAGCCTCCAGCGGGGTGTTTAAAGCCCCGGCCCCGGCCCAGCTGTGTTTACACTGCCAGCGATGAAAACTCGCAGGCGCTCGGCCCCGTGCTCCGGGACAAAGCTGAGCCACAGCGAGGGGGGGACCCTGGCACCATTCCCTGGGGGCTGCTGCACCCCTGGGTGCTGGGATCCCGCTCCTCACCCCTCCCACCCCAAGCACCCACCCCGCTCCCTGCCATCGCCCCGCTTTGGGGGGACCGAAGAGGAGGAGGAGGAGAGGAGGAGGAGGAGGAGGAGGAAGGCCTGGGGCAGAAGCTGCCGCAACATGATGGGGAAGCGATTTATTTTCCAGCAGCGGGCGAGGATGACAACCGCCTCCTCGGCCCCCGGCCCCCTCCGCCAAAAGGCCAAAGGAAACGCCCTCTCCCCGGGGAAGAAGGGGGGCAGCGACCGGGGCGCCCCAGCTCTCCCCCCGCCGCGGCCTTTTGAAGTGAGCTGCGAGTGGCTGGTGGTCCCTGCGCATCCCCCTGCCCCCTTCCCAAAACACACACATTGCTGGCATTCCTCTGTTATCAGATAGGTAATCAAACTGCAGCCCATTGAATTAGCTGCATACCTCCTGCATCTGAAAGGAAGGGGCCCAGAGCCCCCGGCCCACACCACACACAAAGCGGGAGCCTTCCCAGGCCTCCACACACACACACACACACACACACACACACACCCATCCCCAAAAAATAAAGAGAGGAAGGGGGGGGGGCTCGGAGCGAGCCGGGGATGCTGGCGAGGGGGAGCGCAGGGGAGGGCTTGGGCTTGGGAGCCACCGGGGCCGGCCAGCGAGAACAAAGGGCCGGCGGCGGCCGAGCTCACGCCGGCCAAATTCCAGGAGTTCCAGGCCACGGCGGGGGGAGGAAGGGTGGCCGGCATGGACGCGGCCCCACTGACCCCCAGCGCTGGCCACGGGGGCTGGAAGCCCGGTGCTGCGCCGCGGTTGCCCCCGTGCCCGCAGCAGCGCCGGGTCCCGCACCCCACGTGTGGGTCTCGGGGAGATGGTTTGGGGACAGGGGGTGTAGGACGACCCCGTGCTCTTGCTTACAAAGCATCAACGATAAAACCGTGTTTTAAGGCATATTTCATGGGGATCTCGCTTGTCATCATTAGGGCTCAGAGTTAACCAGAGGGGCGAGAAGCAGCAGCGGTGCCGGCGCTGCCCGACCCAGCTCCCCGTGGTGCCAAGTGGCCCTGCACCCCCCCCACGGGCCCTTCACCCCCTCCCCACCCATCCCGCACCCCGCTGGCATTTCCCACAGACAAAGACCCAGAACGTGAGCAGCCGAGCGCTGCCCACCGCCCCAGCACACCCCCACAGACCCCAACTTCACCCATTCCCCCTCCCCACCTGCACGTGGGCACCTTCCTCCCTCCTCTCCCTCCCCTCCCACGACCCCCCTGTGGCAGCCCCATCATTAACGCCGCTTCCCCTTGGGGCTGGAGCACCCCAACCCCAAAAAAGCTCCGCTTTTTGCCCCCCTCCCCAACCCCGCTGGGTGCTGGAGGGGCTCGGCCGGCCCCGGGGTCACCATTGTCCCCGTGGCCGCCCCAGCGCGACACAAGGGGACGTTTATTCCAGCCGGCCCCGGCCACTCAATCAAACCATCTTTGTGTCCGGAGGGGCCTCGGGCGGCTGCGGCCGCTGCACCTCGCCCTTATCTGCGCGGGGGAATCGCCACGCTTTCAACTCAAATCTCTGGGAAAAGGAGCTGGGTTTGGGGTGATGCCTTTAGAGCGGCTCCGGGACCGCGAGCGCGGCACCGAGCGGTGCCAGGGGATGGCCGGGCTGTGCTCTGAGCTGGCCGCGGTGTTTTGGGCACCCCGTGCCTCAGTTTCCCCCTCGCAGTCAGGAAAGACCTCGTGGATCCTGCAGCGGGGGTACCGCACCCTACAGGCTGCACACACCTCGGTGACTGTTTTAGGATCGGGCTTAACACAGCCCCAAGTCCCATGGGGCTCAGGCTCAGCACAGAGCTCCCCCCCCAAGAACAAGAGGGTATGCAGAGGGCTCCCTCTCGCCCAGTTTGGGCTAACACTCGCCCAGTTTGGGCTGGCACAGCACCGATTCCTGCCCAGCTCCGTGGCCCCAATGGGATGGGGCAGCCTCAGCCCAGCCTGGGAGCAGTTTTGGGAACGTTGTGGCCAGGCTGGGCTCTGCCAGCGGGGCACCAGGGAACGTGGACGGCATCCACAGCCCAGGCAGGATCCATCCTTTTCACCCTTCCCAAATTGCCATTTCCCAGCGCTGCAGGACGGAGCTCAGCGACCCTACTGAGGCTGTTTTGGGGCTCACACGCAGGAATCGGAGCAGGAATCATCTCCTGCTGCCCAGCCCTCGGTGCAAACCTCGGGGCAGATGCTCAGCCTGGCAGGAGGGGGTGGTGCAGGGGGAGATGCCCGCAGGACCCCACCGCAGGGAGCCCGGGGGATTTCACCGAAACCCTACTGGGGATTTTCCAGGCTCTCCCTCCTGCAATCCAGAGAAAATCCCTCAAATATTTTTTTCTTCTAATTCAAGTAAAACCAAAACAAAGCCACGTTCCTGCCAAAATAACCATGTATTCCCTTAATTTTCCACCGTAAGCAAGCAAAATTAAACACCAGATTAATTCTGGGGGGGAAAAAAATCACCCACTGAGGGTCTAAGACACCCGTTGCCTGCCCTAAATCCACCCCTTCAGCACTCTCCTGTTGGGTTTTTACCTGCCCCTAGGTTGCCAAACCCTTGCACGCTTCCCAGGCAAGCACCTGGTGCTGCGAGGGGGCCAGCACCAGCACCAGCTAATTAGGATCAGCTGCTGCATCTTAATTTCATACTCCCCTATTAAAGCAGGGACACGTCCAGGAGCGGCAGCACCCCTTCCTTCGGCGGGGTCAGCTTTGTCCTGGTTATTTTTAGGAGCAAATAAACGGGGAAAAGGAAAAAAACAGAGCTTGGAGCAGCAGGGGAAGGGGCTGGCGAAGACCCCGGCTCCATCCTGACCCTCCCCAGCTCCGCGCCAGTGCCTTAGAGAATGGGAGAAATCCCATTCATTTGGGCCATTTTATCTCGGAGACCATTTAAGGGTGTTTTCTCTCCCTGCCCGTCACCCTGGGGGCTCGAGAGAGCTGGGGATGGGGGAAGGGATGTGCCTGCAGCCATCAGTTAATCTTTAGACAGAGACAGGAGGCTTTTTTTGTGTGCAACTTGAGGGAGTTTCAGGGCAGGAATAAAGCCGCTCTCTTTCACCGCTCGCCATCGGGCACCGCGTTCCCAGGAATTCCCCTTCCCAGGACGCGCCGCGATTGTGCCCAGCGGTTATTGAAATAAAATAAAAATTAAAAATTAAAATAAAAACGAATTAAATCGAGCCATTGCTCTCGCCTCCCCTCCCCCCCTGAAAGCGGAGAGGCCAAAGTGCATCGCTGCCCCCCGGGGAGCCCTTCCCGAGGGGACTCCGTAAATCCCCCCCCTGCTCCCGCAGCCACCCACGCGGCACCCCGGGACGCCCACCCACGGCCGGGGGGAGCCCAGCCCCACGCCGAGGCAGGAGCACCACGCACCTGAGTGGGAAAAAAATGGGATTTTTCATACCAACCCCACGGGCATCGCCGCCCCGATGCGCTGACTTAGGCGCATGCAGCAGGAGCCCGCTCCCGGGGGAGAAATGCCCCGTGTGCCCCCCACCTCTGCGCTCGCTCAGGGATGGAGCTGCCTCAAAATATGTGTTTTTGTTAAAATTTCTCATCTCATCACCTCCCGGCCGTGCTTGGGGGCACGGCAGCAGCCCTCGTCCCTCTCCAACCCATCCCCTGTGCAGCCGTGTGGGGTCAGAGCCCCTCTGTGCCCCTCTGCCCCCCTCTGTGGGGTTCCTGGGGCCAGGAGCCCCCTCCCCGTGCCGGCACGCAGCCAGCTGGCCCCATACAGGCAGGGCAGGAGGGACACGTCCTGGATGTGTCCCCCCACGGACACGCGGGACCATGGCACCGAGATGCCAGAAAACAAAAATCCCCGTGGACCCCCAGGTCCCAGCTGCAGCCAGCAGCTCTCCTAGCTGAAAATCAGAGCAAAAAGCCCCAATTCCATCACTTTTAGGATTTGGGTTGGAGAAACGCTCTGAGACACGGAGCTGGGATGCAGGGACAGGGTGAGGCTGCTCCGGGAGCTGCGAGGTCCCCATGGGCCGGGCAGCCCCATCCCTTCCTCTCTCTGCCAGGGCTACGGGGCCAATTTTGGGGATGGGTTGTGCTCTCTCTGCTGCTCCAGCCAGCAGGCATCGAGCCTTGGGGATGTCGGAAAGGGGCATGCACATTTCCCCTTCTTCCTTTTTCCAGGTTTGCCTTCCCCAGCAGCCCGGCTCTCCCCTAAGCGATGCTCACAGCAGCAGTGTGAGCCCGTCCCACATCCCTGGGGAAAACCGCTGCAAATTTGGGGTCTTCACCAACACCAGCTGGATTTCTGCCACCTGGTGACCCCCAGCCCATCACGGGCACCGCTCAGCCCTCGGCATCCCCGGGACGACCTGCTCCGCTCCTCCGGGCTTCATCTCCCCACAGCCCCCAAATGAATCCATCTCCAGTGTCCAGGGGAGGCATTTGAACCCAAATGCCTCATTTTTAGCTCACAATGAGAGGGAAAGGCAGCCCTGGAGGAGCCCTGTTAGTCTCCTGTCCTGCAGAGATTTTAATCTCTTTGTGATCAGATAAAGGGGGAGAGAGATGGAGACGCGCTCCCCGCGGAGAAGGGCCATTCAGACCTGGTTCCTGTAATAAAGTGATTTAATAGATCTAAAGAGGCCAATTCCCTTCTTTCTCCCACAATTACTTCCTGTGGGTCATCATTCACATATGTAAATGAAGAGGGGAAGGAGCGGGGGTTATCGGGGAGCAGGAGGGGGGGGCTCTGGGTGCTAAACCCCAGTGGCTGCTTTGGGGCACCTCGCGCGGTGCCGGGCACAGCACCCCGAGCATCCCCCGCTGGGGACGGGGTCTGGCTTTTGCCCTTTAGGGTCCTGACCCCCTCCCCAGGGTGCGGAGCCACCTCTGGTCCCTCTCCCCAGGTGCCGAGGAGGGGTCGGGGCGACCCCACAGCTTCGCTTCATGGGATCAGTGACCCTGTGCCGAGAGCGAGCGGGGTGGGAATCAGGGTGGGAATTGGAGGGTGCTCAGGGCACTACCCCAGCCCCAAACAGCTTCAGTCCCACGGGATGCGAAGCCCACGGTGCCACGAGCATCCCGGGTGGGACCCGCACACCATCCTCAGGCAGTGCCCTGCCTCCCCCCTACCCAAAATCACCCCGTGCCCCGTGCTCGCCGCGTTTCCCGAATGCCCCAAACCCCGCACGGGGTTCCTGGCAAACGGGACGCCGAGAGGTCTCCCCTCTCCCCGGGATCTGTGGCAGAGCCACCCGGCTAATTCCCTCTTTTCCTACAGGGACGAGAGTGAGAGCAATCAGGAAACCAGACTGTCTGGGGGCAATAAAACCCGGGGAGAGCGGAGGGAGGCTCGCCCCCACCCGCACGGTCCCGCTGCACCGCATTGACATGCAAAGACCCATTTGCTGCCCCTGGGGAGCACCCGGTGCTCGGCTCAGCTTTCCCCTGCTGATTTTGGAGCCCTCGCCCCCAAATCTGGTTGTTTTTTTGGGGGGGGGATTTGGCTCCTACAAAGGCAGCTTCACCATGCTGCTGCTGAAGGAAGAGGGATTTGGTTCTCCCTTGTTCCTCTGCTTGCCTGGGCACGGCTGGGAGCCCCTTGGGGACCCCAAATCCCAGGATGAGCCCTGCCGGGATGAGGCACAGCCCCGGAGCTCAGCCCCACACCTGGGCTGCCCAGCAGCCCGCAGGATGGACCCTGCTTTTGTGGGATTTGTGCCCGTTGTCAGCATCGGGCACTGGAGCTGGCTCTTCTAGGGGCTCCCCGGAGCCGGCGTTCAAGGCACCGCCGCGCTGCCCCCATCCCCGTCCTGCTCCCGGCTGTACGCACAAAAACACGCGAGTTTGCTCCCAAAACACCACATTTCCTACACTCCCACTGCTTCCCAGCCCCACCGGCTGCTATTTTCCCCATCAGAGCGGGGACCTGGTGTAGGGGCAGCGGGGCACGCTCAGCACCCAGCCCCATTTCCAAGCACGCTGAGCCCCGTAACCCCTTCCCAGCGTTGCCCCATGGCCCCAGTTCAGGCACCAGCTCCAAGCCCATTTCCCCAGCCCCTATATCAGGGTCCCCCCACACACAGCAGCTCCGTCCCCCTCCAGCGAGGCAGCTTGGAGCAGCCACAGCCCCAAAATTTCGATTCCCCTCGCTGCAGGATCACCAACGGGATATGCGCGGGGCTTCCCCGCTCGGCAAGGTGCGCGGGTTAAATCCGGACACGAGCCCACCGCTACCCTACAGGACCCCCAGGGGCGGGGATGTGCCCCTAAATGAGATACACAGAGAGAGAATTCCCCCCCCCCACGCTCAAAGGATGAGGTGGGGAGAGCCCCATCCAGCATCCCTGCCTGGCACAGGGGTCCCAGGACCCCCCAACCTGGGGGAAAGGCAGCTCTTTCCCCTTTCCCCCCACGGGGTGAGCAGCAGCCCTGCCCCAGCACCTCCCGTGCACCCCCTTTTCATTCGGGCGGGCACCTGCTCCCCCGACCCCTCTCCGAGCTCCAGCGAGCTCCCCAGTGAACCATGATGAGAAAATGAAATCGCTCCAGGATCAGCTTACGGGGCCGGTCCCCAGAGAGGGCCGGGGGCCGCGGGGGGCACGGGGCTGTGCCTGCCCTCCGCTGCCCTCCTCTCCCTGGGGAAACGAGCCCGGGGGCACCCCCGCTCCCCTGGGGACACCTCCCTAAAATTGGGGATAACAACAAAAATCCCTTTTTGGGCAGCACGGGGGGGCTCAATCCTGCACAGCATCCCCCCGGGGGGGTGTTGGGGCTGCACCCCTTTTGCTCCCCACCCCAGGGCCGGGCTCGCCGCCACGTACCTGGTGCACGAAGACGTCGACGGGCGAGTCCAGCGTCGCGCCGCCCTTGGCGGTCATGGAGAGGAAGCCGAAACCCATGCGGACGTTGAACCACTTGCAGATGCCGGAGCCGTGCAGAGGTTGGGATTCGTTTTCAGCCTTGGGGGAGTCTCCGGTCGTCTCCTCACCCGGCTTCGCACCTGGGGAGAAACCCACACCGAGCACCTGAGCTGGGGCTGGGGGAGCGCCGGGTGCCCCCGACGCCACCCAGGCCCCGCAGCCATCCGGGGAAAGAGCAGCAGGAGCCCCAGGTTGGATCCCGCAGGCTGGAAAAGGCAAAAAAAATTTAAAAAAATAATAAAAAAATATGATACAGCTCCTTTCCCCCAAACACAGCGACCGGCTCAGCCTCCACGTGTGTGCGGGACCGCGCCGGGTGCCGGGGGAAGCAAAGGGAGCCGCTGCCGGCGGTGTGCGGGGTGGGAGCCCAAAATCCGGCCCCCCTCTCAAAAATGTTTTAAAAAAAACAAAACGAGGAAAAAAAAATTAAAAAGCCAAAACGAAAAAAAATAATTAAAAATAAACCCAAACCATGCAAAACCGGGAAAAATTCCCCCGAAACACCAGCTCGCCCCCCAGCCCGGCGAGCCACGCCGGGGAAATTCTTTCACCCCGCTGCACCCCTGCTCCCAGCTGACCCCCCCCGCCCCCCCTTCCAGCCCCAAGCTCATCCTGGGGCTGGGGGGGTGGCAAAAATCTTTTAAAAAATCCCCCCAAAATGCCCCCAAATCCCCAAAGCTCTGCAGCGGGAGCGTGGCCACGCTCGGCCCGGCTTGGCCGCCGGGGTTGAGCGGGGCTCAGCGGGTCGGGTTTGGGGGGGGGTCCCTCGCCCACCCCCTTCACCCCCCCCTCCCCCCCGGCCGGGCTCTGTCGCCGTTATTAATAATCGCGGAGGCGAGGAAGGGCTGCGACAATAAATATAACTGAACCTGCAAACTGCTGGTTGGAAACAGACCCCATCCCGACCCTGGCTTGCAAATTCCGAGTTGTGGCTGTTACCGCCTCCTCCTCCCTCCTCCTCCTCCTCCTCGGCCAGCTTTGAGGGTAGCAGCCCCAGCCAAAAAAAAAAAAAAAAAAAAAAGAAAAAAAAAAAGGAGAAAAAAAAAAAAAAAACACAACCCAAAAAAAAAAAAAGCCCGGCTTAGACCCCGACAGGAGGGAGCCGGGAGAGGTTTGACTCCATCTTCACTCCAACAATAGGGGTGGGAGGGAGCGGGAGGGTTTTTTTTTCAAAGGCTCCCAAATTCTCGCAGACAATAGCGGCCCCCGCCCCCCCCCCCCGGGACCCACCCGCGGGGCTGGGGGGCGCCGGGCCCCGCTGGTCCAAGCCCGCCCCCACGTGATCCTAATTTCCTAATTAACCCCCCGGTAATAGCGACACATTCCGGGAGGGATTTGGGAACTTAGGGGTTGGGGGGGGGTTGAGGACCCCCCCCCCCCATCCTATTTAGGGGCGAGGCCACCTGTCAAGGGGGGGGGCGATGTGACCCATTTGGGGGGCAGGACCCCCGTACCCCACTTGGGGGGGGGCAAAAACACGCGTGGGGGGAGCGGGCGCGGGGCTGAGCCCCCCGGAGGGTTTTTTTTTGGGTGTGGGGGGGCAGCAGTGGGGTTTTTCCAGGACACCCGCACCTCAACCTTGCGCCCCCTCCACCCACGCGTGTCCGGGGTGGGTGGGTGGGGTGGGATGGGGGGGGGAGGCCGCTTGCCCCAGAGCCCCGGGGAGCGGGTTTGAGGCCGGGGGGGGGGGCGGAGGCCGGGACAAAGGGCGAGTGCCCGCGGCCCCCCCCCAGCCTCCATTTCCGGCCGCTGCCCGCAGCCTCCTCTCCCCTCCCGGCGGGGGCACAGCGCCCCCCCCCGCGTGGTGCGAGCCCTGCGTGGGGGTCACCCCCTCCCCGACCCCCCCCCCCCCGTTCCCGGCTGTTTGTGCCCCCCCTCCTTGTGCCCCCCCCGAGCCTCCTGGAGAGCCCCAGGAGCCGCCTCGACCCCTCTCCGCGCCCCCCCTCCCCACGCGGGGTTCGGTCCCGAGTGGGGTCGCGGAGCCGGGGGGAGGCTCCGAGGGGAGGTGGGCAGCGGGGAGGGGATCCTGGGGGGGGGGGGGGGCTCGAAGTGGGGAGGGGGCAAACCCTCTTGACCCCCCCCCCCCGGTGAAATCTCGCGTGGGGGGCGCCGCGCCCCCGGGCTGCGGTGCTGGAGCCGGAGCTGGAGCTGTCCGCGGTGCTGAACGGCGCCTGTCCAGGGTGCTGCGCCCCAGCCTTCCTCCGCCTCCTCCTCTTCCTCCTCCTCTTCTTCTTCGTCCCCCTTCTCCTGCTCTTCGTCTTCTTCCTCCTCTTCATCATCTTTTTTCTTCCTCCTTCTCTTCGTCATCTTCCTCCCCTTCCTCCTCCTCTTCATTATCTTCTTCTTCTCCCTCCTTCCCCTTCATCTTCTTCTTCCTCCCCATGTTCTTCCTCCTCCTCTTCATCTTCTCCTTCCTCCTCTTCTTCCTCCGCATCCTCTTCCTCGTCTTCTTCTTCGTCTTCTCCTTCGTCTTCTTCTTCCTCCTCTTCCCCCTCTTCTTCCTCCTCCTCCCCCTCCTCCCTCTTCTTCCTCCTCCCTCTCCCTCCTCCTCCTCCTCCTCCTCCTCCTCCTCCTTTTTCTCTTCTTCCTCCTCTTCTATTTCCTCCCACTCCTCCTCTTCTTTTTTCTTCTTCTCCTCTCCTCCTTCTCTTCCTCCTCCTCCTCCCCCCACCGCTCCCAGTAGCCCCCCATTCCCCCATCCCCATGAAGCCAACCAACCCCCCCGGGCTCCCACCGGTGGCTTTGGGGGACAGAGGAGGAAGAGGAGGAGGAGGAGGAGGCTGGTTTTCCTCCTGCACCCAAGGGCTGATCCTTTGGGAGGACGTGGCCAGGCCTGGGGCAGAGCTGTCCCTGTGCCAGCCCGGTGGGGACCTGCACGGCCCCTGGGGGCTCTGCGCCCTCCCAAAATGCGACCAAACCAGAGCCACGCTGGGGACAGGAGGTGCCCACTGCCTGCACGCTGCTGCCTGAATAAACCAACGCTGCTCACACGGTGTCATCTTTACACCCTTGATAATAGGGATGGGCAGCGTGGGGGGAACCCCACAAACACGCCTCTGATTCAGGACATCCCTCGTGAGTCCCCCAAACCCGCGGGCAGCCCCTTGCCTGCAGGAGCAGAGCCCATCCGGGTGCTCTCTCTCCCAGTATGACCAGCCTGCCATACTGGGGACGGACTGGACGTCCCCCCAAAGCCCTCTCCGAGTGTCCCCAAGGGTGACCACGTCCTGCACCCATCCCCGCTCTCCATCCCAGCCCAGTTTGGGTGCGCCCCATTTCCACTCCCCGGCTCCCCACCAAAATCCAAGCGAGGATTCACGGGGGGGAACCCACGAGCGCACGGGGAAGGGGGACACCACTTTGGGGGGGCCCTAAAGACCCCCCTAAATCCCAGCCCAGCGAGAAGAGGTGCCGGGAGCTTTCAGCAGGTACCGACCAAAGCCGGGTGTCCCCCCCCCAGCCGCCACCTCCCCGAGCTGGGACCGGGCCGGGGGCGCCGGGCAGCGTCTGGCACCCTCTCCTGGCCGGCCGCAGCTCCTGTCCCTTCTGCCTCCTTTCCCTTCTCGGCATGGGGGATAATTTGGATGGGGGTGTACGGAGAGAAAGGAGAAAAAAAAAAAAAAAAAAAAAAAAAAAAAAAAAAAAAAAAAAGGAAAGGAAAAGAAGAAGGAAAAAGTAAAGACGGAATAAAAGAAGAAAAAAGTAAAGAGGGAATACAGAAGGAAAAAATAAAGAGAGAAAAAAAAGAAGGAAAAAGTAAAGATAGAATAAAAGAAGGAAAAAATAAAGAAGGAACAAAGAAGGACAAACGAAAAAAGATCTGGGGGAGACTTTTCCACCTCTCCTTTCCTCCCCACTCACCTCTCCTTCCAGCCCCTCTCCATCCACGCCAGCGGGATGTGGGGATGTGGGGAGGGGACAGCCGCCTGCCCACGCGTTTTGCTCCCAAATTCTGTCCCATCGCACCTGGAGGACACAAAGGAAAAGCCCCCGAGCTGCCCCAGCCCGTGCAGGGGATGAGGGGCACCTCCACCCCGATGTGTCCCCGATGTTTCTCCAGGCTGGGGCTGAGGTGTGCAGAGCAGCCCTGAGAAATGTCCCTGTCCCTTCTGTCCCTGGAGGGGCCACCCAGGTGCCAGCATGGCCTGGGGATGGGACACATCAGGGGCATCCCAGGGCAGACCCAGCAGGAGGTGGGCAGAGGTTCGGGACCAGCTCTTGGGGGAAGGATGCAGCGAGGCATCAGCGCTCGTTGTCTCCAAACCAAATCCTTCCGAAAATAACCCAGCACCGTGCACCAGCCCCCCCGGGCTGATGGCAGGACTGTCACCCCCCAGCGACACTTTCTTATCAGTGCTCAGGCTCAGCACCACTTCTCAGCGACCCCAAATTTCTGCCCGTCCTCGGTGACTTCCCAAATGCCAGCCCCACGGGGGGCGACCCAACCTCGCTTCCCCCAGCCCCAGCGACGCAGCAGCGACGGCCCAGCCCTGTCATATTTCTGTGTGTGCCGTATTTGTGTTTTTGTTTTTTTTTTTTGGGGGGGGGAGCTGTGAATGTGAAGGGGAAGGGGACTCCTTCCTGTTCTTTCAGAGCCGGCCGCTGCGCCTGGCTCCGCTTCACGGGGCTGGCCGGCAAAGCGGCCGCTTTCACAAATAATGGCTTCATTAGATTGAAAGAAGTGGACAGTGACCTCTCCGAAATGGACTTTCTGACCCCTGCTGACCTCTGGCCCCGGCTCTGACAGCCGGTAAATCTTCCCCCCCCTCGCTGCACGGCCGGGGCGAGGGACGGCAGCGCCAGGCACCGCGGTGCCGCCGGTGCCACCCGGCCTGCCCAGGTCCCCGGCCCCGCAGGATGAGAGCCAGGGGCTGTGCGAGGCACGGCGGTGGCAGAGGTGGGGACCGGTGTCCTCCTGGTGCTGAAATCAGGTCGGTGGCTGGCCCCAGAAAATTGCATTTCCAAGGGCTGTGGCTCCGGTGCCATCTCCCAGCATCACCGTCCGCCCCCGGGGGGGCTCAGCCTGGCTCAGAGCATCCCCGGAGCCCACGCTGCCACGACCAAACCTCCTCCTCCTCCTCCCCCCAACCTCCTGGTGGGGAAACTGAGGCACGAGGGGACACCTCAGGAGCCCCAAGGCTGGCACTTGGCCCCATGGGCACGGTCCCATCACCGCCTGCCCACCTCCTCCCCAGCCCTGCCCGCACGCCGCTGACCTTTTGGCTACGGAGCGATCAATAACGGGGCCACGGCGCTGCTCCTCCCCCTCTCCTGTCCCCCCCACCTCATCCCGGGGCCTCTAATGAGCCCGGGGCCTCTAACGAGGCCGGCGGTGATTGAGGGACCCTCGGGTGCCTCCCCTGGGTGGGGACACCCCGAGACACAGGTGTGCTCCCGAGGATGCCCTAACGAGGCGTCCCCTTCCCCAAACCCCAAAATGTTCCCCTGGCTCAACCAAGGGAGGAGGAGAGGGCGTTTGGGGTGTCCCGTGGGGTGCTGCCCGGTGCCACGGGTCCCTGCTGTTTGGGTGGGGTGGGAGGGGTGCAGGGAGGGTCCTGGGTTGGGGTGAGGGGGGCTGCTGAGGCCTGGCAGCTCCTCGGTGCTCCCCCAGCTCCCCCGATCGATCGGCTGCCGAGCGGGGATTGATCAGGATTGATCGGCCCCATACATGTTCCTGCTCTCTGATAAAGGGAAATCAATAGCTGCAGGAGATCCTCCCCCAGCGTGGCCTCCCCAGAGGCAGAGCCCTCCAGCACGATGGTGCTTGCAACCCCATCCTCGCCCCTAAATCCTCCCCACCCTCCCCAAAGTCTTGCTCCCTCCCCAAAAAACATCTGTGCCTCAGTTTCCCTACCCGTAAATTGGGATTTGTGCCCAGGTTCTTCCCCTGGACACCCTCTTTGGGGAGAAGCCCCCCTCCAGGCACCTTTACAGGGATGAACTCGGGGTGGGGGCTTTATCCCCGCACCCCTGGGTGC